TCAACATAAAACCAAAATTGTCAAATCACACCACACCTATACAAGAACTCAAAATTTTTAACGTACCTCCTATCTCCATATTCCTTCCTCCCGTAGCTCGCACCGTTTCAGTCCTCCTTCTTATTCACTCTCTTTTCTCGTTTCTCTCCAATCCAACTCTGCTCATTCTCTCTCTCTTGAACCTTCTCTTCCTGCCCCCGATCTCTCTCTTCTCTGTTTTCTTTCTTTTCCTCTCTTTTCTTTCTTTTTTTTCCTTTTCTTTTTTTTCCTTTTCTTTTTTTTTCCTTTCCCTTCTCCTATTTATACCCCACCAGCCTTTCATCCTGCCCGTCCATTTCACCTCATCCCAATCGTCCATTTCTCCATTCTTCAAACGACGTCATTCCTTCCTACACTTCTCCAAACGACGTCGTTTTCCTCCCCTTCTTCTCCAAACGGCGTCGTTTCTTCTCCCTCTTCGCCAAATGACGCCGTTTCACCTCTAAACTTCCCACCCTACCTATACATCTATACATACATGCAATTTTTCTTTTTTTTTTCCTTTCCAGTTATTACACTATATCTACTCTTTTTTATTTTAAGATTAAGAATATTTATTTAAAATTGCTAAATAATATACAAAATTCTTAATCCAATTAATATAATTATAATAAAATCTACGATTATTACTGCTTTTCCTCTTTTAGTATTCATCCTCATCTAGTATTTTTTATAATGAAGCAAGACTAGTGTACAGTTTATACTCAGTTACTTAATTTGATTTAAGGATTACATTTGATTAAATTTTAATTCTTATACTAAAATTTAATTGAACTCTATAAACACTAATTATACTCAAAGTATGACATTAATGTGTTTCAAGAGGGACTTTTATGTAACATAATTATCATCAAATAATAAAGAGAATTTTGTATTTATTTTTCATCATTTAGAAATTTTAACATGACATTAGAAACATAAATAGTTCAACTACTAATATAATGTGTTGAATTAAACTTTATATCAATATGTTGAATGAAAATTAATAATTTAATATAATATAATTTGAACTTCTAATGAAAATTAATAATTTATATTAAAAAATTCAATTAATGCATTTTAGTAACTAATTACATATATTTCTTTAAAATATATAAACAAAAGATACAAATACGTTAAGAAAAGTTTGACCTTTTGGCTCTGGTCGATACGATTCATCCCCTCTCCCGTATAAACTTTCTGTGCTCCTACCGTGCTCGTCTGAAACTTCACTTCTTAATTATTTTTTGCAATAGGGAGGCACTGACGATCGGATTCCACATCCCGCGAAGCCATGAAAATCGTGCGAAGAGACCTCGTGCCCGGAGGCTCTGGGAGCGTCAAGGTAAAATTTATTCCTTCTATAATTTCACCTAATATATGCTTTTCGTGGGAGGAATCCAATTTTCCCGGGGAAGAAACGGGCGGCGTCGTTGTTTGATGCTAAATTGACGTGCAGATGGTTCCTGAGGATCCTGATGATCTTTGGTTTGCCTATAATTTGATTGCTATAGGTGATACTGTTGTGGCTGTTACTTTCAGGTGCTCTGTAATTCAACCAAACAATATCTTTTTCTCAGTTGCTTTACAAATTTCGTTTTATTTACTTTCTTCCATTGTTATGCTATCGGGCTGCTTATAGCTATCATTTGCTTTCATATATAACAGGAAAATTCTAAGAGAAATGGCCTCTGGAGGAAGAGAAGCTGAGCGTATCAGGCTGAAGTTGGAAATAAAAGTCCAGGTAGAGAAATTTAGGCTGTTAACATGTTTTGCTCCTTGGTGAATGTGATGTTTTGCTATTCTCTTTCTCC